GTAAGATACAGTGAAAAAAAACCTCTGCAAAACTATTTCTGTATCCATAACAGGTGTGCCTTTCCTACACAAAAGCATTCTTGAAAAACTGCGTAAATCAGATCCTGTTTTAAATGCCTTAAGGGAGCTATTTAGAAGGAACCCTGCAGTGAATCCTTTGGTAAAGCAAATAATCCTTTTGTAATGGGAATAATTTCTCCCAATGTATCTAGTTTTTTTTTTTAAAAAAATCCCATTTACATGTATCTGCTTTTCTTCAAAGGGGGCCATACCTATCTAAATACAACTTCATTTGCATATTGATTTTAACAGCAAGCTTCTCAAGAGATGTTTAACCCCAAGGTTCCTTGCAGTGGTGTTCCTGCTCTGCTGTTCATATTTTTAAAAAAACATTACAGTAAACCCAGAGATTTCCAAATAGGAATAAAGTTATATATATATATAACTTTACATATATATATATATGTAACTCCCCTGCAGCCCTGTGCCCTGTACCCCATGCAAACACCCCAAGCGAAAGAGTCAGGAGACAGCAAAGAATTCTCTGAATTCTAGTGGCAGTCTGATTGAAGTCTTTACTCTTTTCTTTCCCTACGTCGCTCTCCCCGAGTCGGGCAGGTGCAGAAACAGGGACCTGGGGCAGCTGGGGCCAAGTGGGGAACAGGGTGTCTCAGGCAGGTTCATAGCGAAATGCCTGCCGGGTCCCGTGGGACTGACAGAACTGGGAATCACTGCTTCCTAGGGAGGGGTCAACTCAGATGCTTTTATAAACACGGTCAGAGTAATGGAGCCAACCAAAACAGCCCCTTCTCCTTCCAGAAAACGTGGTCACTATTGCACTAAATTCCACGAGACCAAAGAGTCTCTGAATCAGTGCAACGAGGCAGGTGGTACGCTGCTGCTCATTTAAGGGGGAGGCACGATCCCGTACTTTCTACCTTTGCAACAGAAAACCTTACATTGTTTGTCATCGGCTTACCTAGCCCAGAGCACCATGGTCAGGTGGCCATGGTTCCTGTGAGGACACTATGTACAACAGGTGACAGGGCCAGAGGCCACTTCCCAAGCATGGGTATTTGAACTTCCTTTCCTAGTCTCAACTTTCCAGTAAGGGTGCTGCCTTCTGCCTCAAACAAGCAACTTTGGCTCTTTTCAGCTTACAACGTCTTGAAGATGGACACAAGAGATAGAAAAATACACATAGCTCCGAGACTTTGACCACCTCCGCTGGAAAAGCAATCTAGCCCGTGTCACCTTAACCCAAGGAAGTGTCCTTTCCCCGCCATCCTGGCTGCCAAAGGGAAGGCTGGGAGGAAGGCGCTCCTGAAGACTTTTATAGACGGTTTATCCCCACCCACAGCCATGACACTCCATCGGCACCCAGGGTGCCTCGAGCAGGTGTGTGGGTGCCGGGCTCAGCCGGGGCTGCCTCTGCCTGCTGTCAGGCCGGCACTCCTCGGGCACACCTCGTGCGGGCACAGCCAGGGTGGCAGGCTGCCCAGCTGTCTGGGAACGGGGCCACGACTGAGACGTGGGTCTGGAACAGGATCAAGTTCCACTGACAGGCTCCTTTGCCTGGGTGCTCTTTGTACTGAGGGGGACGGACAGTGGAGAACTAACAACAGCTTCACACTTGAGCCGGACAGTCTCTCTCTGTCTAAATTGATTTGTCATTTCCTTCTGAATGTGAGAGGAGGGCGAGGATCCAGGAAGGGACCTCGGGTCACGGCACTCAGGAGGCCAGGCCAGGAGGGCCGTTTCGCTCCACAGCCACCCTCCCTGCTCCTGTCTCTGTGAGGAGGTAGGACGTCAGAGAGACACAAAGACGCCCTCGTCGGGCTCAGGGCCTGTTTCCAGAGGAAAACTTCAGTTTCCTACGGCGACCAGAATGGTAGGATGTTAATCCTCCCCACACAGGCTCTAACCAAGCACCAGTGCTGAGACTCCAGGGGCAGAACTGGTCCAGCAATGAAAGACTCTGACATGTGGGCTTCCATTCCATTTCTTTCTGGGGTGATTTTTCCCTTCGCCTCTGTCAGGAACGAATGCCTGGCCTGTTCTCATACTTGCTGTCACAGTCACGGGACTGCGAACTAGTCATTCACCACCTCCCTCCCTGAACTAAGCATGTCAAACGGTGACAGGCCACTTTCTGTGTTTTGAACCTGGCCCGTCGGCTGTGCGCTGGGTTGTCTAAGGGACAAGGCCACAGTCCTCCCCGCACCCTGTGAAGAGGACGGATGGAGAAGGGACCGGGAACACAAGATAATGCCCACCCCACAGGCTTTCCCCCAAATCTGACTTTTCTCAGTGGGCCTGGCTGTAGATCTCAAAGGGAAAGAATTCTTGTTTAATTTTGGTCAGGCTCAGTATTCAGCTGAGGTAAAATCTGAGGAAATCCGGAGAAAAGTAGAATGTATGGAACCAGAATTTTACTCTGGGCTCCATCATACATTTATTTTCTATCTTAAATGGCTTGTTTAACTCTTCTTTTTGCCTCAGTCTCCCAATCTGGAATATGAGTCCATTTTTGTCCACTTTGTGAGAAAACATTTTGGCAGACTTGGTTCTGGGCCTTGAGAAAGGGGCCGAAGGCCGACCTGCCCCTCCGAGGATCACAGCCGCGTCACGTCCCGCTGATCTGCTGCACCGCAAACGCGCTCGGGGTGCGCGGTCTCCCTGAGAGACAGCAAACGCCCGGAGACAAGACCACTTCTGTCTGCCTTAACTCCTTTCCTACAAAACTGGCTCCAAAAGTAGACCTGAGCCACAGAGAGTCGCAGACATGGCCATTAAGATGGAAAGGAAAGAACGCCAATCCCCATGCTTGAAAATGCTCTGCAGACTGAAAGCTAACACACGCTCATCTGATCCTCACAGTAGCTATGTGGGGGCTGTTATCCCCACTTTCTAGATGAAGAAACCAATGCTCTGAGAAGGAAAACAATTTACCTGCGGGCCACACAACCAAGCCTTGTACCCAGTTGTTTTTATTCCACAACCCACTGCTCGTGTTCCCAGGCTGCCTTGGGCCAGAGCCTGCTTCACATTTAGCAGACTAAGGATTCTTTCTTCAGTGCCATTTTGGTCAAGGTTAAATAAATATGGTTTTCTTCAGTGTGGACAGCAAATTGATAATGAGATGATTTGTAACAAATGATTAAACGGCCATCACTTGGGAATCTCCTCCCTCTCCCCATCCTATGTTTCAGAAGTTAAAGGTGCTGGGCGAGGGTGGGAGCACCATCACTCTCCTTCACGAGGAAGAAGTTCCACCCCGCGCCCCTCACCATCAGTCGCTCTGCAAACAGATGTGGGAGAGGATCCCTCTTCCTACCACCCCGTTACTCTGAAGGGATGATAACAGCCATTGGGGGGTTAAAAAGAGGCAGTGAACCCCCAGTTAATGAGCAGGAATTCAGCAGGCAGTGTAAGATAAATGGGGCTCTCTCTGCTTCTGCTGGAGTCAGCATGAACTGCGGCCCTGCGGCTTGTTTGTGGCAAATGGAGTGCACGGAATATCAAAGGGCAGTGATCCAGAAGAAGACCGACTTTGACAAATTTTAAATTGGCCAGAAAGAAAACCAGCAAAAATGGGGGTGAAAAAAGAGAAAATTATGCAATTTGCTGTGTCCTGCAATTGTGGCATTGCTGCCTTTGTACAGAATTAGTGGTAAAAACAGCAACAACGATCGCTGGATGCTGGGAGCAATTATGAGCCATCTAAGTGAGATGCTTATCAGTGGCTGAAGCTTTTAGAGCTTTCTCTGTGTACAGTTGTGAGGAACTTGCTCTTGAGCTGCAGTTACTTTAATTAAAGTATATGGGTTGGTCAGAACTAATTATCCTGTTTGGAGAAGAAAGAAAAAAAAACCTCAACAACTCTGGGTGGCAATAGATTGTAGAAACAACTTTGCCAATTTCTTGTTGTGTGTGTGCATTTCCCATAAAAGAATCAGGCTGCGGTGGGTTCAACTTGTTGGTGGTTGTGCCTGATGGCAAACAATGGGACAGAAACAGGGTTTTACTGTAACCTGAGTCCCTGTGTGTGGCCAGGAGATACAAGCTCCAGAGTGGCAGCAACCAGAAGTTTCTGTGCCTGTAGATGGTGAGGATACAGAGTCCACAAATGGCTCTTCATTAATTAAATTACTATTTAGAACACAGATGAGCTAGCTATCTCTCTTTTTTACACCTTCCATCCACTGCATTTCACTACCTTTTAAAGACAATCTCTGCTTCTCCGAAGACAAAACAAACCAATAAACAAAAGAAGCTCAAGCAATTATCCGTACAAACACAGCAAGGGGCTCAATGGGATATCTGAGCAGAAAATTGGTGTTTTAAAAGAATCTGAAACTCATTCAGACTTTGGAGTCAACACAGGTCCCCACAGTTTGGTCCTGTGTTCAAATTGCAAGCGATTCCCAAAAGCCCCCAAAACAAATGAGCAGCAGAGCCCTGGCTGGACGATCTCGGGGCTGCCGATGCCACAGCCTCTGGAAGCAACAGTACACAATCTTTATTTCCATTTCTTTAGCTCAGGATGGCCCAGAACACTGCCTGAGTAGGTTTCCAGCTTTCCTCTCCCAAGACACTGACACTTGCATCCCTCAGAAATGAGGCAGGTTTTGTCCAAAGAGACAAGCAGAAATAGGACATTTAAGTCTGGCATATTCTCTGATTAGCCTGGCCCCAACAGCAACTCCTAGCTAATCATTCTTTGCAGGGATACATAAGCCTAGAAAGACAGACTGTTTGAATTATAAAAAATTATCAGAAGAAAAATCGGGTGACTTTTGCTTTTTTTAGGGCCCACTTTCCCTCCTATTACACACACTATTTCATTCTACCAGGGTTCTTACCATATAGAGGACAGTAAATAAAGATTATCATGAATTTGATCAAATGCTTCAGTGCCTCTTCCCCTGGCCTAGAATGCACTCATTACAAATCAGTTGAATGGCTCATTGATTTGCCAGGAGGACAAGCAGACATACCCAATCGCTCAGCCAAGTGGATGTAGACTGGGTCCACCCGTCGCATGGTTTTCACCAGATCCTTTCTTCGGAATTTGATTTCTACTGTCCCTTCTGGCTCCAGAACTGAGGCCCTGGATTGAACAGCAAGAAAAGAAAACATAACAAAACAGAAACAGAGGCACTTTAAAGGAAGGAGACAACAGAATGAGGCCAGTTACAATTTGTGGACCACGAAATAGTTTCATTATGGTTTTGCCCACCCATGGTACAGAGGTAATTCCAGGGAGGGGTGCAGGCACCGGAGAAGTATCTAAGTGAGGTATGAGAAAGGCTTGGCAAAAGGCAATTAAAATAATTCTCATCACCACACTAGTCTACATCCATCTCAAAGGGAGAAGGATACAGATTCCACCACCTACAGCTGATAAGGGTAACAGCAGTCACATCATTTTCCCCATGGCAGGGGAATAGCCTCCGGCACTTAGGCCATGCAATGAGGGGCCGCTGCTGATCCATCCTACACACAGCTGTCAGTCTGCTGGGAGCACTCAGACACATGAGGCCATTCTACTGCTTGACCCGCTTCATGTGTCTGCCTACTGCTATGGAAATGACAAAGTGAAAGGTCTCATGTTCCTTCTAGTGCATACTAATGATATTCTATTACCAGGAACCTACCCTAAACACCTTTCTTTTCTCTAAACATTTACATTAAAAAGAAAAAAATACAGCTAACACCGACTGTGTGTATGGCATTGTTTTAAGTGCTGAGATAAAACTTTTCACAGCAATCCTGTGCCCAGTCCACATCCACTACGAAGTCAGGCACGGTTATCTCTACCTCACAGATAAGGAAACTAAGGGACGGCAAGTTAAGAGACTTGGATAAGTCTAACAAGTGACAGAAGTAGACTTACAACCATACTCTCATTCCAAAATCTGCAGAGAAGTCATTTTTGATCTAGTATCAGATCAGGGGCTAGGTTAGAACTTAAAAACAATAAATTCCTAAGCACTGAATGCAAGCCTAATGATTTGACAGTAAAACTGCTTGACTCTCCTAAGCAGCTTTTGAAGCAGGAGGCTGACATTTCTGGGAAAAGAGAAACACAGGTGTTGTAATAAAATGATTGGATACAGGAATTGGCATGAAAGATGTCAAGGAAATACGATGTGAAATTTACCTACTTTGGAAAGAGCTGAGAACAGATTATGAAAGGAAGCTGGATTGGATCTCTTTTACTTTAGCATTTTCAGCTATCACCTTTCAGTGAAAACCTGGGGTTTTCTCTTGAAGTTCTTTGTGTGCTGCAAACACTCTGTTTACCATGTCTCTTGGAATGTCAGAGGGAGACACTGACTCTGAGGGAGAAGCTCTGGTCTGGAATCACAGAATGTGGGTGCTGCAGTGGACCTCAAAGACCATCCAGCTTGTTCTACAGACAAGGAGGAGCAGCCGGGGAGAGTAAGGGCTACTTCCAGGTCCTCACTAGTCAGCAGCAGAGCTGGATTAGGCTCTGGAGCTACACACTAACAATTCTGTCCTTCCACTCCAACTTGCTTTAAGCTCCCTCTGCCACATACCTGAGAGAAAGAGTGAAAAGTAAAAAGGAAAAGAGAATCACTCTGAGTTTGGGGTACCTGGAATAGAAGACTTCATGGTAAAAGAATCTGGGGTGGGGGATCATACTGAGAAAGCCTGACTCCAGCCTGGTTTCCTTCCCATGCCAACTTACACTATTTGGAAAGTCCATTTTTCTGACCTTGGCGTCCTCTGGGAAGGGACCGATGCAAATTAAGTTCTCCCAGTTATAATGATCTCCAGGAGGAAACCAATAGCTAGGGGATCCCCAGAAGCAGTGAATGGAAATGAGGAAGGAGTGCTACCTGCTTTCTCGGTCAGCGTACAACTCCATGTGCCGGGGGTTGATGGTGGGGTCAATCACGACCCAGGAGCCTCCCCGAAGCTCAGCCTGGGGAGGAATGTAAATCATCACAGGCTGAGAGCACTCCCGTAAGCCATCGACGATGTAAGCACCAAATTTCAGCACTTGGTCGTACATATCTATGGAGAATGAGACAAACTAGAAATCAAGAAACAGCACTTCCAAACACTGTTCACATCATCGCACACACAGAGAATAATATTTATATGATACCTTGTGTCTCCACGAGGTGGCCAGAGGTGACAGGTCTGAGGGTTCAGCCACCTCAGGTCCTCTTTGGCCACCCTGAAGACTAAAGGGATTGGTAGCTACACCTGTATTCAAGACGCCAGGGGATCTTTGAAAGCACGGAGAAGTGCATGATCTTTCACAAGATTCAGGGTGCAGACCCCATGGATGGCATATCCATTTTATATGCTCCCTGAATTTCTGTGTTCAGGTCTCACCACATTAATTCACAGTTGCTCTACAAAGGTTGAGTATTTTTCATGTCAATATGTGATCTCTCTCACTACATTAACTCTTCTGAAGGAAGCACTATTCAAGCTCTCTTCAATTCTTCTCATGATACTTAGCATATGATAAACCCTTATATGTGCAGCTAATGGGAAAGGATCCTTCAAAAACTGCATCTTTCATCTTTGTATCCCCAGTGTCCCGTCCAGTGCCTGGAACATAGTCAGTGCTCAGTAAGTGTCTGTTGAATGAATGAGCACATACACACTTTGGAAAGCACACAGTGAGAAAGGAAAACTAATTCTTTACAGGTTTCATTTTTATCAGGGTTTCAGGGAGAGAAAACATTTAAATGCATATGTATTTATTGGAAATGTCTCACAGACACATAAAAAGAGGAGCTACCTCTTTACTTTGCTAAAGAGTACACATTGTAATATCCCCCAAGGCCAGGAGCAGCTTGAAGAAAAAGGATACCTGGTACATAAATAAAGCGAGTCCTTGGAAAGTAGGATCAGTTATTTATTTCCCAATAATTTATGAACTTCTTCCCTTTTCCTAGCTCACCGAAGTCTAAACATTGCTAAAGCTTGAGGTTTATGATTCCAGATGTTTAATGAGTACTTCAATGGGTCCTTTTTAAACACCAAATAACAGGTTCAACAGGGTTCAAACTTTCCTATCAAGGAGAGGATCTCAATTTGGAATAAATCAATTCTGGAACTCCAAAGCAAAGAAGCATTTTCCAGGAAGTTAAGAGCAAAAACCAAATAGAAATTGCTTTCATTGAAGCAACTGGCAAATTAAACTGCCACCTTCTCCAAAGTAAAAATGGCTCTCTTTGGAAACCGTTAGTGAGCACCGTCCATTGCAAGTCTGTGAAGACTTCAGAAATTCCCAAAATCCAGCCGCTGCCCAAGAAAAAACTCCCTACTCTATGAGGAATGTGTAGGATCATATATACTGTATGTATGATCAGAGGAAAGACATTTATTCCTCTGGGAGGAAAGCAAAGACCAAAAAAATTTACTGCTAATTACACAACTGCTGTATGAAGAGCAGGGAATAAAGGACTTTAAGCGCTTTACGCTAATTCTGTGGTTATGAAAATAATTGCTCAGTTCAAATTATTTTAACTAAATTAATTCTTTAGTGGATATTTCAACCAGTGATACATAATAAAATAATTGTGTAATTAGCAGTGTATTTTTCAGCGCTGCCAGGACTACAGTCTCAGAACAAGTAACGGAAAGGAGTGACCCTCAGTGGTGTCAGGCACAGAGAAGAAATGGAAAGCGCAGATGAAGGAGTAAAACACCAGACAAACGGCAACCAAAAGGGCATCCTATGTAAAAAAGGAAAAGGCAAATTAGAGGTAAATGAGGGGAAACTTTCCAGCCTCTTCATTCACTTGTTGGTTAAAAGATACATCTACATCAAAATCTATCTCTGTACTCTCTGTAATAGACCCGGGTCCTCCAACAGAAAGGGGGGTGACTTCATTTAGAATGTACTTCCATTTAATTAACTTTAAAACGTTGATTTCTAGTATATGCAAATAGTTTGGGATGAAGCTGAGTGTGTGTGAAATGGACTTTGGTCCCTCTTTTTCATCATCATGGCTAATTTACTGAGTATCAGCAAGCATGATTACATACACACACACACACACACACACACACACACAAATTATTTAGTCGTCAGAAAATCATCTTGTTCTCATATCCAAGTTACAGGTGAGTAACCTCAGGCTTAAATAAGGAAGTGGCAAAGCTAAGACTCGAACCCAGATCTTCTGGGATCTAAAGTCCACCTCCTGCTACCTCGTTCTTAACTTATCGTCCTTACTGCACAGAAGGGGCATGAGGCTGAGGCAACCTGCTTCCTAGCATCTGATTCAATGGCTGAGTGAAACAGAAACCAAAAGAGACTTGAAAATGATTCAGTATTTCTGAATTTTGCCTGGATTCTTTGTATGATCAGAAATATCAGAAATTGTACTAATGGTACTACCAGCTTACACATGACGGCCAAACAATTATCTTCAGGCCCCAAGACTGAGCAGAAAAGGGGCATCAAGTTAACAACTGGGGAATGAAAACAACACCTCCACGTAGCCTGGAACACAATTCAACCATCAAAACACCAAAAAAGCAACAAAGGCTATTGAAACATAAACAAACACACAAACAGACAAACTCTATAAACAACGGGCTCATATTGAATCCCACCTGCCCCAGACCACACATTTTGAAGGGCAGGTTGAAGCACTTGGCAACCATCTGACACGCACTTGTCTGAAATCCATATTTAAGAGACAGAGAAAATCACAGCCAACAATAGCAGGGGAGGGGCTATTCCCAAGGGTTTAGGCTAGACATCAGTCTAGGGAATTTCAAAGCTATACATATGCTGACTGTCAATTCTCGAGCCTTAAGAAATGCAACTGGGAATATAAAAAAAAACTGACAGGTTCTTCATTGGAGAGGTGGGAGCTTAAGCACTCTGAGCAAAGAATATCTTCTTGAATGGTGATCATGCAGTCTTTCCAGTGATGTTCTTAGCATCCAGACACCAACCCTGCCTCGGGCCTTCACTGTTACACAACATGGATAAACCGTGGCCACCACATGTACCAAACAAGGGAGCAGGGTGGTAGGGTATTTCCACAGTGCCCTACACTTTCAAAACTGGAACAGATTGTATTGACTTGGAAAGAGATGCTGTTAGAAGCTGGAGGTAAACACTAGGCATATACAAACTGCACACACATAATGTCTCTCATGAGTTCATTATGCCTGGCTGACACTGTATTTCAACATCCAAGTAATCAGAGACTTTAAAATAGACTCTCATTCCAGTTAAAGTTTTCAATAAATGTTTTTTTATTGTTATTTATAACCTGTCCCAGGAAAAAATAATAAGTATAACATGAAAAGCCAACTGAGAGTGACCCTGTAGCACCAGCAGTGAGGCGGCTTAATATCACTGGGATTTGCATCCTATCAAGCTATTCATGCTGAGGCTGGGACCCTGGTGCTAATTTCTAGTAAATTTCACGCTTGATGTCTCCCTGTTGTGGGTCATTGCCGGTTCGTCTAAATAAACTGCTTCCAAATGGCTCCTCCATCTAAATATTCAGCCAGTTTTTATAATTTAATTTTGCATTATGCTGAATAGCCTTCCGGCCAGATAGAACTCATTGGAAAAAAAGCACCAATACCATCTTGACATGCTTGTATTTATTTATTTATATTTTTACTGCTCGAATTAGACCTCCTAGGCCGACTAGTAAAGAGTTTTTTTTTCCCTCTCCACTAATGTCAATTTTCAGCATAGCAAGAGCTGTCTCTAATCTTTTCCTACTCATTACACACAATTTTGGAGCCATTTTACCCACAGTGCAGTCGGCTCCTGGCTGTGTGTTTGTGTGCACTGGGGGATGGCATAATTGTTTATTTTCCCTCCCTGCACAATCCCCAGCCAGTACTGAAACCAAACTGCAAACATCTCCCCAAGGGATAAGGAACGACTCTCAGCTTAGGTCCCGTTACATGAGATAATATGCAGAAAACATCCTGACCTGTATGTAAATATGAAAGGCGATATACTTCCTTCCACCTCCTCCTTCCACACGGATCTCTACCTTCCCCAAAGCTTTTTTGTTTTAAGTGATGTGTAAACAGATGCAGCAGCACCAAAATTCAGAGAACAGAGCCGGCCCTGGTGTGTATCAGGCCAATAACTCATTTTTGACCAAAGACCGAGGGAAGGAAAAACAAGAGGGGTTATTGTTTAATGAGCATAGATTTTATGTTGGGGATGATGAAAAAGTTGGGTAAATGCGTATCTGGTGGTGATGGTTATGTAACATTGTGAATGTATTTAATGCTGCCGATTGTACACTTAGAAACTGTTAAAATGATAAATATTGTTATGTATGTTTTACTACAGTAAAGAACCATAACTCATGTCTGAGCTCTTGTCACAATAACCAAGGACAACTCCAAAGTAGAGGGGCGGTAGGTGAATAATAACTTCTCAGGAACCTAGCTCCTCTATTCTAGGAATATTCTAGTAGACTGGGTCTGGTCAAGATTCTAAAAATCAGCCAACTGTGCTGCAGGAAGTCAGACAGATCTGTGTTCCTTTCCCAAACCTGTCATTTCTAGCTAAACGATCTTAGCAAATTTACTTAACCTAAGTTGCAATTTATGTAAATTGCAGATAATAATATAACCTACCCCTCAGAGGTGCTTGTTGTGATGATTATGTAAGACAATGCATGCAAAATGGTTAGCCATAGTTTCCAGTGGAAAGAGTTTAATGAATCTTAATTGTCGTCATTCTTACTGTTACAGGGCTACCAGCCAATCTAGGTCTGAGCCAAAATATGCAGTGGAATTGAAGCTTTTCCTACAAGAGGCACATGGCAAACTTTTGAACTCTGAAGTTGTTAGACAAAATGGTCAGGCTGACTTATTTCTAAGTAATGTCAGGTAGAGTGAATCTGCAGTGGCCCTCCAGAACAGATGTAACTAAGAACTAACAGCACTGCATTCTCTCTTAAATGTTAATGTAAATCTTATAGCCAAGAAGTTTGGGATCGAGTGAAATCTTATACTAAATGAAACTCACATATACAAATGAAAAGGGTTTCAGGCTCCCTCTCCCCAAATTTAATATAGCGTCATCCTCTTTTGAACACTGTGGTATTTTGCTTATACTTTATACATTATGGCTTTATCATTCTTCCCAAGATGTTTTTCTCGATTCCTTGAGGTTATGTCTGTTTCTGCCTTATTTTTGTTTTGTCTGCCATAGCTAGCATAGTTTCTTGCACATAGGAACTCAAAAAAAAAAGGGTAGGATTGACTTGTTCAACCTGTACTCTCAATATTTCATGGTATTACCACTGCTTTATTATCTTGGTCAAAAAACATCTTACCCTGACAGTCTATGAAGGTATACAAACATTGATTCGCATTTATTGTCTAAGTCTCCCCTAAGAAAAGCATAAAATGTGGTAGTTCAGCAAATATGGGCAAAGGGGAACTTTTCAACTAGAATAACAAAAAAACCACTCTAGTCTTCTACATTTTGCCAGGAAGTCCTGGCCATCCAGGGCTTTTCCGAGCCAGGTAAGGGAAAATTGTTGGCATAAGGCTCTAATTAATCTCTCTCCAGACACAGCTGATGATCTATAAAAGGGTTCTTCCCCAGCGTCCTCCCTCAGAGCAGAGACGCTCCTGCCCCAACGTATTTCTGGGTGCCCTGCTGAGAGTTCATGCTTTCACACTTTTCCGGTCACTCTGCTGACGCCAGCAGTACCAACCCCTCCCTGCCTCCCTCCATTACCCTGGCCCACTCGACTCCACTTCAGAACCCTCAGTTCTGTGATGCTCATCAGCATTCTCATCCTCTCCTGCCATGTAGTTCTGCCCTCAGCATGGCCACAAATCTCTGGCCACTGTAGAGAAAGAGCTTCACTATTCAAAGAGGCAGGGTGTGTTTCTGGTGGTGCTCCCCGAGCTGTCCACAGTGGTTCTACACACAGGATTCTCAGCAAATGGGGACCCTGGCTGCCTAATCACTAAGCAATTCCCACAGTGCAGAGCAGTCTTTGTAATGAAGGTCTAACATTCCAGAGTCACAGGCCCAGAGCTGTTTTTGGATAATAATAAAGCATATCACAAATTACCACAAAGAACAGCCTCTGGTATGGACTTTGTTTGTTTTCTCCTGGTAAAGGCTAATTTCAGTATCTGTCTTGGTCATTGTAGAGTGTTGAAGAGTAACAGAACAAAAAGTATGCCCAGAAAAGAGGGACAGAGACTAGTACAATCATATTTCTCCAGGACCATTATTCACCTGTGAAAGCTAATCCATAACAGCGGTCTACGTACGTAGATAACACTAGCAGACTGTTCTACGTTGTATGGAATTGTAAAACATATTGAATTTTCCCATTCAAGTTGCCACTGAGAAGATATCCCAGAAGGTGCATAATCCCCCGAAAGGCTAGGTCAGTGAGCTTCCAGGACACCCAGAGGCTCCACCCAACACAACGCCCCCCACCCTGCTGCAGGGTTCAGGGGAATCAGTCATGCCCCTGCAGCCCAGAGGCAGGCCAATCACCTTTCATCCCACCAGAGAAGCCTCTCCAGTTAGCAAAGACCATCAGGGGCAGCCCTTCACGGTTGAAGTCCTTGATGCCCTGATAGGTCTTAAATGCAGAGTCTGGGAACCAAACCTGGCCAGCTTGCTGGATTATCTATTGGGGAAAATAAAAGAGGAAGACATAATTAACAATACCATTTGAAGGGGAATCTCTCCAAGGTGAATAAGGTTCGACTGATTAAAAATTCAAAATCAAACTAAACAAAAACTGTTGTTCATCCAGGTGTTCTCTAAAGTAGGAAAAAGATCCTGGATCTTTGACTTTGTTACACATCCCTCTCTTTGGGTCCTGCTTACACCACCTCTCTTCAGTCAAAAGAGGGAAACCTCACTGCGTCTAATGGAAGAATACATTCTCAGGATCCTGTTCCCTAGGGCAACTTTACATTCAACTCCGCTACTCCTCAAAGTGGCCAACTCTACACAGGCTCCCGGCCTTCTCACCTCCGTGCTTGGTGTGGCTTTTCCTATCCTGTGGTTAACCAGCAGACCCTGATTAACCACAGGATAACTTGATGGGACCCTGCTGAATAACCTCCTCCCTGATCTCCCTCATTCCTCATTTTCTGGATCTTATCATGATGTGAAAATGTTATCCATCCTTTTATAAAGAGGTGGGTTGTGGTGTTCACAATTTGGCGGACTCCATTATTAATTCTAGTAGTGGGGGGGTGGGGGGGGTGTGTGAGTGTGTGTGAGTGTGTGTGTGTGTGTGTGTGTTTGGAAAATCTGGGGCCAAAGAGGCCCGCCTCAACATTGTTTCCGCTGCCTTTCTGTAAGACCATGTCCCCAATAAAAGTAGACTGTTTTCTAACATCAACAAGACAATGGTAAAGGCCTATTTAATTTTTCAGGCAGAATTTATCTTGTAGCACCTTTAGAGTCACCTTAAAAGTTCAGTACACGATGGTCTGAAATCATTCAAGACTGCTGACTGCCCTTCCCTCTAAAATTGGTGGTTTGCAATGCTCACAATATATCCACAAGCTCTGCAGAAGGGAAACACCTCTCCAGGCAAACACAGGTGTACACAGTACTCAAGGTGACCCACCTTGGCTTCAGAATCCAGGTTTGCAGGATCAGCTGGGATACTCAGTTCCACTGTCCGGGTTTCTACAGCAACTACTCCCACAGGTATTCCCCCTAGTCTGATAAAAAATGAGCCATGTAAGAACCTAATGTATGTCAACATTACAGCTAGTCATTTATTTTCCAATCTTAAATCAAAACATTGTGGGGTGGGGGGGCGGGGAGGGCGGACTAGAAACAAACACAGAGAACAGGGGGAAATCTGACTTGTCTAGGGATAAAATGTGAGATTTTAGATCTGGTGAATATGGCAAGTTTTTGTAAATGTGGTGGGAAACTACCCTCAGAATCACTCCAGTTCCCCACCACAGGATAAATTCAACCCGAGGGTTGTACCGAGGGAGCTCCTAGCACTTAGGCTCAACAGCCCAGCGCGTGTGCATGCACACGCTGCACACACACACCCATCTCTGTGGCTGGCAAATGAAATTTCAGTTACCACAAAGCCTCTCTGATGAAGATGGAGGAAAGTGGTCCAAAAAGTAGTAGGAATTTGAAACTCTCAGGAAGTGCTTTATAAAGTGATGGCATTGCGGAAGTAGAGCTGTAGTTTTCTATGGAGTACTAATAACACGGTTCCAGGTAAGATCTGAGGGGGTACAGTAGGTCTCACCATTGAATGTGTGGATGAAGAGTGTGTGGGTATGTAATAGGGATAAAGAAAAATATGTGCCAAGCGTAGGGAGGTGGTTAAACAACTTTCTTTTTCAGTGGAAAAGGGCACTGCAACAGGGATAACTTTGACTAGTAATCTTGGTGAAATAGGTGATTTGTATTGGAAGTATATATTTAACGTCCAAGCTTCGTTAATTTTAAAAACTGTCCAGGAGCTCAAAGCCTGTGCATCTATCTCTGTGATACCCTCCCAACTTGGCCCTCATAAAGATTTCCTAGTAAAAATCAGAGAGAGAGAGAGAGAGAGAGAGACAGAACACGGCAAGGTACAGGGTGAGTCCTTACTTGAAAATGTAATTCAATCTCCACTTTCGCAGCCGCACTCCTTGGGGCTGGGGCTGGGATGGGTTATAGTCTCTCATTCCCCCAAAGCATCTCCATAGCAAACTTTTCCATGAAGGATGGTCTTTGGATGAAACATTGGCTACTGGAAATGGATTCTTGTCATCACAATAGGCCTGAAAGGGGCCTGAGTGGGGACCACCCACCCCCTTGTCACTTGCCTGCACTGAATCAGAATCAAAAGCCCTCCAGACAACCAGACAATGAGCAGGAGGTACACAGGAGGGTTTAGAAATATTTCTGTTCACAATGATTAACAATCCAACTGGAAACTTGTAATTGCAAAAGCCACCCTAAATCGGTAACTTATAACTTATATATTAGGGCCCATGTGACCTAATAAAGAACATCTTTATCCGAGTATTACAGTTATTTATTGAACTTGAAAACAGCTCAGAACAACTTCTGTTTTCTATTATACTTCATATAAATTTTATCAGGCTAGCACATGAAGATGCTACATCTTGTTTTATAGTGTGTCCCTGGACAAGGTGCCATGGAATAATAAAAGACAATTTACAGCCAATAGCACACATATTCCAAACATACATACCAAAGATGAGTTTTGGCAGCACTTACAGTAACAATCCCAGAAGAATACATTTATATTTATTTCTTGAAATGCCATTGCTTTGGAAAGAAGCTAGCTCCATTTGTGTTTTATATACTGGGAGCATGTGTATGTATTTGGAGCAAGAAGCCCAGAACTCATCGGATGGAAAGAAGGAAAGAAGTCAGAGTGAGTGTTGTAATAAACAACGGCAGAGCTAACCAAAGCCAAGACTGACTGAACTTGCTCAGACAATCCCTGTTCTTCCAATCACAAGTGTAAACCGTCATTCTCTTGTTTCCTGTGGGAGGATCTTAAAAACCTTAATAAAGGTTTGGCTTTTGGAGGGTTAAAATCTGTCATGTTTTTTACAGACAGGAAAACTGAAGTAGAAAAGATAAAAGCCAAATTTTCAGAACAGTTGGTCTGAGTGTGGTGTGAGGACTCTCTATAGTAAACTGATAGGTCCTGGCTAGGAGGGTTTTCTTTCTAGTGCAACCCCCACCTCCCCCTCCCCAGTGGGAATGTTACCAGGCACAGAGAATGATAATTCTCACCAGGACCCAGGAGCCTGGGTTTAGGTGGAAGACCTGAGATGCAACAGAAAATGGAGGCTGGTCCCCGTGGGTTTCAGTCTGGGCTGAATCCACGCCTGGCTTGTTTAGAGTCATAGTGGAAGATCCTGTCTGTGGGCTCTGCCATCTGATGGCTCCTTGTCCCTGGCAGCATGAGCCGTGCTGACCTGCTGTACTGAGGGAACTACAAAGCCTGGAATTATTTTCGAAGCTAGAATCTAAATCTCAACCCAATGTGGCATGTTTGAGAATCTTGAGCAGATGCCACTTTTCACCAAGATAAGAAAAACGGATTGCCCCCAAGAGGAAGGTGAGCTCCAGATGTGGGTCCCTGGGGCAGCATGTCTCTGCAGTGCAGGAAGAGATTAAGATCAGCCTTGGCAGGTACTCATTATGGCGTGTGCTACAGATTATTTCGTGCAGAGCTTGCTGTTGAGTGAAGCACTTCTTGGAGTAGGTATTAAAATTTAATAGAAACTTCAATTTCCTACTTGAAAAATATAGGTATCCCAGGTTATTTTACTTATTCTTGTTTCAGGTAAACTTTTTTTTCTTTTTGTAATTCTAATTTGGTAGTGCATTTCTTAAATAATCTAGATGCCATGACGGAACTTCTTTCTACTTACATAGAGAAGTAGATGAGACTGATTTACTTGTCACCTGCTTCTGAAAGAAGGTAGTTTTTGGGAAGGTGGCAGGGGTCGCTGGTGGGCTGTTGCTATTTACAGGCCTCAACTAGCTTTTCTTTCAGCATTATAAGAAGGAAATACGGTCAAAACCAGACGTTAGATTAAATGCATCACTGAAATGACACACTAAATGATTACTGGGGATCAGTGCTCCGGTTATGCTGCCTTAGATGTGACCATAATCCAGTATTCTTAGAAGTTTAGACAAAGAGAGTATTATTGGTAAGGACCTATGTAGTCATGGCCCTTCCCACTCTTGTTTTTAGTTGGGATGAAAGGAGCTTTCAGAACAAGAGAGCTCTTACCTGGCTCTGCCAACCACCACAGTCTGTGCCCAAGGTTGCATGATTTCTGAGAAAGACCCGTAGTCAAAAAATCCACTTAACCATTGACCTTTCTGGGCTACAGAAGGAAAATAAAGAAAACAAGAGAGAAAAAACAGTCAGTCCATTAAAAACACACTGCAATTGGCAATTTTAAGGTTGGATTTGGGCAATTATTTGGGGGAATTTGTTGTTTTTAACCATAGTATAATAGAGGGAAGCATTAGGCAGCTGCGTGTTTGTCTGTCTTCAGACATCATCTGCTATTCCATTTGCTAGGCTGCATGAAAAGTCTCATTTATCAGCAAAAGCATCATTTATTGTTAAACGATGGGGTTCAGCTAGCAGAGAGTTTGCATTGCTTTTAAATAAACAACTTGGCTTTTTTCAAAACACCACAAACATTTGTCAATAGGCAGCCAAGTCATCAAAGATGTTTTCAAAATGTCTATTTCTATTTCAAAACTCAGCTTACAATTTTGTCCGATTCCATTGACTTACTTTTAATGGAAAGCTGAACATAGCTGAGTGATAAGTATTAAATGGTCAGATGAAGATCCAAATTTGGGGAAAAGAAAAGGGACTCAGCCTTTCACTAGAAAAGCAATGAAATATACATCCACTTTATTTACAGCTGACAAAGTATAATCTTTCCATAAGAAAGGGCCATGCCCACACACTCTTGACAGAGAGCAAAAAATATAATGGTTTAAGATGCACACACTTAATGTCATTAGCCTCTCTTGCACATAGAATTTCCTTCTCTGGCAACACATGTAACTTTCAACATCTTTCTTTAAGAAGAAGAGGCAAAAACAAAATGTTTTGCTCCACAGGTATCCATGTTTGACCAGGACCCCATAAAAGCTTCTGCAAATAACTTCCTAGCTTGCCCTCTCAGCTCATGGTTTCTCAGTGATTCTTCTAATTTGAACATGGTCCTCTGCCCCCTAAAAACCCAAGTCCAAAACCAATTAAAAGTGGAGATCTGAGCAAGCTAACCTCTGCTGACTTAAACAGGATGGAGAGTGTTTTATCAGGACTAAACTTGTAATTACTGTGTTCTACATTCCTTGCCTCTATGGCCCCAGTGTAAAATGTGATCATCCATTTCAAAATTATCTCTCTATCGTGAGCCCAAAGCTGATCGTTTAGATTCTGGCCTCGTGTTGGGCGTCAGTTTGAAGAATATCACAGCACTATCTCCTCTAATAAATGACTTTAACTTTTCACCTAGAAGATATCTGCTTCAACTTATCACAGGGAATCATCTGCTTTCTTTAACGTTTCCACTAAATTAAAATCTGAAGTCACTCGGTTTGGGAGCGAGTGTTAGCAGCACACAGACAGCAGGATGAATTACCAGGGAGTCGGTGAAAAAATATTATTCAAAAACTAGAAAACTTAGTTCATCACAAATTCTACCTTATTCTGTAGATCTCATTAATAATGACGAAGATAGTGCCCACCTGCTTATACATGCACACTCACATGCACGCGCATCTGTTCACCCCAGGAAGGAGAGCTCAATCTTTGATGGTGGTTCTAAACCAAATTTATGAATGCATCAGGATACTGTAATTTTAACTTCTATGTTTAGATCATTTTGTAATTCTTACTTCAATAACGATGATTTAGAATTACAAAATTCATTTCAAAATGGAAATATTTTCTTCCTTAAAAACCTTCCTGCCCTGTATGTTGACTGGGGGCTATAACTAGTGTGGGGGGCTTGGCTGCCCTTGGAGAGCAGGCTATGTTCAGTTCAAAGGCTGAACTCAGAAGCCAGCTAAAATGGCTCCCAGTAAGTCCAAGGAGAACACTCACTGAATCTTGTTCTGGATTTTCCCAGAAAAGTCCTAGATTTTATCTCGGACTCACAGTTGTTACCATAATAATGGTATAAAAGTGAAAGGTAGGGAGATTACTATGGTGATTTTTCTGGCTATGTAAGAAAAACTATTTCATTTTATTAAGATCAATAAGAAAAGGCAGTGAAAGACAACAGGTAAAATTTTAAATTATAATCAATCTTCCTCTGGTGATTTTTATGCACTATTTATAATTAGGCTTCAGATGAAGCCCCAGCTCCTAAGTAATAGCTGTGTGACCTTGTACAAATCATTTAACTTCTCTGATCTTGTAAAAACGATGATCTCTTTGTATCTCTGAGAGGTAGTAAGCCCAAACAAGACAATGTATACAAAAGTGCTTTGTCACACCACCTGGCTTAGTGTGGGTGCCCACAAAGGGTCTTTGGTCTTTTATTAGGTCTTTTATTTGGTCTTTTAAGGGTTTATTAGGTCTTTCTTATGAAGACCTTTTTCTCTTTCAATAAAATCATGACTCAAATTTAATTATCTTCTGCATTCCACTCTTCGTTAAGATATAGCCTTTCTTTGAAATAGTTGCAAAAAACATGCAAAAAAGAACACTTTCTCAAACAATCTGAAAAAAACAGATTCGAAATGTAGCAGAGGGATTCTGGGGCTTCACAAAAGAGCTTCCTAATAAATATGGTTTGTGAAAACAACCAAAGAGGCTGACAAATGAAAGTGTACATTTGCCTTATATGGAGTTACCTTTGTTTTTGTTTTGAAAGTAGATAAAATCAGCCCTGAGAGAGAGGGGTATATTAGATAAACATGGAGGAAGAACTTGTTCCTGTTCTCTATATTTGTAAAATGAAAAATTCTGGACAGTCCCTTCATGAATAAATGATCTCACACTAACAACTAAAGCAGGTGCCAACACTATTAGCAATATCGCGAGAAAGGAAGGGAGCATGCAAGGTCGGTGCTCAGCAGCAGCTTGCTGAGAAAAGGCCAGTCACACTGTACATGAGGTGTCTCAAAGACCCTTTCTAAAACTGATCTGATCAATCTGTTCATAGACACTGAACGGTCAAAGATTCTGGTCCTATAGTTCTAGGACTTTATGGCTTATATTTAACTGTTTTAAAGTCTTTGAACCCACTAAATAATAAGTGCTTTAATAGCAGAATAAATAGAAGAAATGTATTAGTGACTAGACTACTTATGACTCAATGGCTGATTTGTAAATCTCATCTTATTATTTTTCATTTGCTCTTGAAGAGTTTTCTACCTTCTTCTTCAGAAATCATTTTCCAGATTTTCCTCACTTCCAGGTACTTAGTAGCTGTTTTCTTGGTCACATGCTATTGGGCAGAAATTGGTTTGTGCCCGAAAAAACAACAGAAAGGCTGAGGGCCAGGGGCCCCGGAATCCTTAAACATATACATACTTGGGTGAGGACGGCCTGCCAGCATCCATCGAGGATCATACGGGGCCTTTGTGGGAACAAACTCGATGTTTCTGTCTATAGGATCCTTGGAATTCAGGATGGGAACTGAAATGCTTACACTCTGAAAGGAGATTGGGAGGGAAAGAGCACAGCAATCAGTAAGCGACAGTCTTAGACTCCAACTCAGCAACAGTCTCGACAAAGGCAGCAGAGCCCACGTACGGAATGACACCCATGAGTCCCAATCATCAGCCAAAAGTGGGCCAAGCCCTGGGGAACATGCGGAAATCTCAAGTCCCGTGTAGGAGTGTGGCACAGAGTGGTGCCTTCTGATTGTTGATTTCAGTGTGCCCAGGCCTTCGGGGAAGCTCCCCAGAGGGAGGGATGGCTATTACAAATGAGAAAACCCACAAGGAGGAGAAAGCCCTAATATGCCGGGATCAGAGCCTGGGTAGGCCATGAAAGCTTCTGTGGCTGGAAAACATCAGAAAGGGACCTAGCCAATGAAATTCGAAGGCATTTTAAAGGTAGAAAGCAAAAGCTGGCTCTAAGGAAAAAAAAGGAATAAACCACTTTCAGAGGATTATTTCAGTTAAAAAGTCCTGTACTATTAAGAGATCTCAAGTACAGAGGCAGGAGGCTGCGTCAGAATGGCCAGGTGCTGCGTCAGAATGGTCAGGTGCTGGGTGGGAAGGGCTCACCTTAGGCATGTAAGACAGCCAGTGCAGGACAGTGAAAACCCCCTCGAAGTCATCACAAACAGTGCTGTGGGTCACCCCATTGTTGTGCATGATCTGGATGCCACCGAGCTGGTTATTGGAGGTATAGACTTCCCGTCCGAGAACCTAGAGAAACGAGCAAGAGAAGAGACACTTGTCTTGATAGAAATAAAGGCAAAGTCGTTTTTGTGATTCTCACTACAATGGGTTCTTTCCTCCACAAGACAGAGACTCCAGCTTCTCGGACTTGTTTTTTCAAAGGGACTATCTGGACCTTGGTCCAAAAAAAAACCCCAAACAAACAAACCCTTAGAAAACAACAACAACAAAAAAAGGGAAAGGCTTTTAAACAATCACATATACAGTTGCAATTTAAAGACCAGCAAGATTCTCCTTCCCTCTCTCTGAGCCTTCACAGATATGAGCAGCATATTCCAACTCTGAGCTGAAACCAGGGCAATGGGTGAGGCTGGGACCCCAGGCCAGCAGCCCCCTCAGGATCAGCAGGCCTGGCGGAGGTACCGCATGGACACAAAAGAGATAAAGTGCCTGTCTTTGACAATCTTCAGAGACAAGTCTCAGTTAAAGAAGTGCTATGAGGTTTGGGTGCCTCTTTTTTAAGAATTACTTTTCCCCTTGTATTTGATTTTTGAAGGTGGTCCACAGCACACATAAGCCCTAAGGCTGGCAAAATCCTGAAGCAACTCCTGGTGCAGACCTGAACCCTCCAGTCTACACTCCTTTGTGTGCTGGGTGCAGGGCGGTGATTTATACCCAAGCCTGCCTCTCCTCCCTCTGTCCTTCCCTCCCAAGGTTCCAGGGAACTCGGCCTCAATCCCTGGGGCCTCCCTGGAGTTTAACCCTTGTGAGACTGAAGGGCATATGCAATTGGAAACCACAAAATGTCCTTTAAAGAAGAAAAAAGGAAGAAAGAAATATTCTTGAACTTGAAAATTGTAGGGTTTCTTTTTCTCTTGAAAATTGGTTAATAATTTCTTTTAGGGAGGGAGGTTTTCTGACCCAGCAGATGGAAGCCGGGCAGCCTGAGCACTGACTGTCGCAAACTGCTGAGTGTGTAGTAATTGCCAGTCATCTAGGGGAGCCCTGGAGAGCTCTAAACAGCTGTAGAGTGCTTACTGTATTTTACCTCTTCTTTTCCCTCTCCCCTTCTCTTTCAGAAAATAACTATGGCACAACATTTCTTCCTTACCAACTTTTATTCATTTCCAGTCTCTAGGGTAGAAGCTAATGAGCTGAAAGACCAGCAAGTTCTGCTTGTACATTCCCATCTCCCCCTTCTTGTTAGGAGCTTTGAGAGGTTCCCCTGCATGCTGCTGGGTCAGCCCCTACATTAAGACCCTCCAACGGCTGAGGAAGTTGGTGACCAAAGTAATCACCTCGGTGTGACCCAACTGGCACTGGTTCCATCTAATGCTTCATCTAGGAAGGGTGGAAGAGACTCTTCTGAAAAGAATGTAGAAAGCAAAACTGCTCACAGATTACCGCTTTCCTTGATATGTAAGTGCAGAGAACAAGCTCTTGCAGGCAGACTTGAGCTGAGCAACATGCTGGCAGCTCCTCTGAAGGAGCCCCAGGAACAGGAGAGACCCTATCTGACCACTGGGCTCCCATCCTCCTCTCAGTCTGTCTTTAATCTCAGCCCAGGCACTGCGGCTCTTTTCTCATTCTCCTGCTGTCTCTTTCCATTTGCCCTCTCTCTGACGGATACACTGATCTCTCGGTCACTCAGCTTTCTGCTCCACTGAGTCCATATTACTAATAACACCTCCGCCACGGCCAGTTTACCTCATGAAGGCAGGAGCACATCATTACAAAATAAACTCATAACTTTGACATTCTAGCAAATACACGCCGTTTGTTATTTTTATGGCTTTAGTCTTTCTAACAGGCAGAGGGCATTACACACCTGTTTCATTTATATCTTTTAATGTGTGCACACATGCACACTTGCACACGTATCAGGAAATAAAACAGAATAAAAAATCCAAAACAAATATCCAAAGCAGCGAATGGATGGGGGGCCCTAGTGGAAGCAGAAACCCTGTCACTGTGCTCCTTCCGATCTGGCTCTGGTTTTATGGGCGTCATAAACCTGATGGCCCACAACTGGTCCTTCTGGGACAGACTGCCTCTCTGCCAGAGTCATTCAGTGTGATCAGCAGTATTTTTAATTATTAAAATATAATTGAAAAGGGGAAAAGAAATAAAAAGGAGGCATGCTGCTGACCCTGAATATCTGATATTCACAATCTGTCAGGAGCCAAGAACTTGCTTGTCTGAGAGAGAGAGAGCTGGACCACTCTCTGAGAAACACTGTTTTCTCTCCTATGAAACACTGTCTTTAGCGCTTGTAATATCCAACCACTTAGAATCTCACATCTCTCTAAAGCCAGTGAGGGACCAGTAAAGAACCAGCAAAGGGACCAAAGCAGACCAAGAGCTGCTTAGCTGATCGAGTAGCCCTTCCCAAGATGTCTCTGCGCCTCCTTTCAGAGAGGGAAGCATCCTGGACTGGGCTACTCCCACAGGCTCTGCTGCTGGCCCATTTTACCCCATATTCTTACAGACAAATGTGAGACAAACTTGAAAGGGGCAAGAATTTAATAACTTAGCAGGTCTTCCCTCACAAGTGGAAACTCAGGTTCTGACACTTCGGCATTGTTTTGACGAGGCAGCAGTAGTTCCCCATTTCTCCTCTTCTGGATTTAGAAAGAAACCTGACCAGGGGTACCACAACCAAGAACATTATTTATAGCCTAAAGAAATGTTTATCATGTGAGAAGATTCATTTAATTTGGGAATTAAAGAGAAAAATACAGGACAGACTAACAGTATGTGAATGGCTTTCTCTGTCCAGCCTTATCTTAGGAGGTCGGGGGTGGGGAGGGGAAGGACGCAGAAATGAAACCTGCTTCACTAGCCACAAACAAATGTTAACAATCATAGCCACTTAACAGTCGGTGAAGAGAAAGCAGTACCCTCCAGTTCATCTTCAATGACCGTATGTGTGGAGCACGCACCAGTAGAATGAGGGTGCACACAATAGCTCCTGATTTATAGGGGTCATTGCTGACTCAAGTGGTTTTAATGACTTGAGAATACTTCAGAACAAAAGCTCTGACCAAAGAAGCAAAATCTGCGCTAGGACAAAACCCATTCTGCCTAATCCTGGAATGATCATGCTGGAACAGACACCCAAACCCTAAACAGCATCCAGGGAGGCACTGATGGCAGCCCACATAGACAGAGCCACTATTTCATTTCTTGATATGAAATATCAAGGCCCTACCGACCTTCTACAGAAAAAAATTGGGGGTAAACAACTCTCATCAGTATAATATTTTCATGCAGAAGGTGAGTTTCATTTACTAGTTTTTTTCAATTTGACATAAAGCATTTCTATATAAGTCAAGTTGCTTGCCATCTTCCACTCCCCAAATTATTCCTCTCACATTTTCTACACCATGATAAAAACTTTTAATTTATCTGCCCCACAAGCATCAATAACCATTTAAACACAGAAGCCATCCAAACAGAGGCGCCTCTCCTGAGGTCCCACCTTGCGCTCCCCAGGTCTAAGTGAAGAAGCAGTACCAGGTAATATTAAAAACAGGCACCATCTGAAGAGTTCCCATGCCAGCAGAACTGAAGAAGGACTGAGTCTGAGAAGAAAGAGGATCCTCATCTACTCTCAATAAATTTAAGCCTCATCCAGCATTTTATTCATTGGGACTGGCAGACCTGAGAATTAAGGGCACCACACAGAAGCCAGTGATTAGCAGAGACACAACTGTTAAAGGTTCTACCAAAGACGCTACGCAGCCTCTAGGAATTTTGGGGCACAAGCGCATGCAGTCACACATACATGCCACGGCCTCTGCTGCTCTTGCTGCTTATCTAGAGACACTGCAAACAGCTCAGGTTTACCACAGCTGACAGGCAACAAAAACAGTCTAATACACGGCCAGCTCTCTCCCTTACATCCCTTTTTGGTGATCAAGATAAACTTGTTCTTCTTTTCCCCAGAGCTCCTGACGTTTGACTGAAGTGGCGTAGCACTGTGAAGTTTTGTGCAAATGCAATCACTATGTAATGCTGAATGAGGGTAGTATTTACTTGTCAGGATTATTTGTCAGCTCAGGCATCGAGATTTCCAAGTTTCATAGATGCAACTTAGATCAATTTTGTTAAAAATTGCTTTTGTCCCAATATACACATTATGTTGGGGACTCTCAGACTTATAGGCAAATGTTTGCAATCATATGCTCAAGATGTAAAAAATAATGATGCATATCAGTGGAATAAAAAATGAAGTCTACCACTGCTTTCTCCCCCTTTATCCAGCTTTTTCCCCATTAAACAATCCTAGGTGGGTCAGGGCAATCTTTTATTTAAAGAAGCAGGGAGTATAAAATTCTTTCTGCATCAGAGAATTGAGAGACACAAGCTGGGTCCTTGTTGCAATCTTCCTTCTCATCAGGATATTTCCATTCTCAAGAGGGTCAAGGAGGGGTTTTGTAAATTTCCTGAGCAATCATTATCCCTGGACTTCACCCATGATTTCAGATTCACTCTGGGATCTGTCAGGTTATTGATAAAGGTTTGGCTAAGGCAGAAAGAAAGATAGACAATGAGAAAGAATAAGTGGGAGCAGGGAGTGATAAAATAGGGACAAAAGAAAGGAGGAAGGATGAGAGAGAGGAAAAGGGAGGGGGAGACACAAGAGGACAGGAAGAAAAAAATGCAATAGCTCATCTACTCATGCTGCTAACACCTTCCTCCCTGACCTGAGAGGACTACATTTTTAAAAGCTGACAAGTAATTCAATCTCCAATTAACAATTTTAAGTGGTGCAGCACATATTACTATGTAAATGTTTCTCCAGGAATATATCCAAGGGTGAGTGGAATTAAATCTCTAGGGAGACAGGACCAGTGCCTATGTGACCAAGGATGTTTGGGGTTCCAAAATAGTCTCTTAATATACAGACTCAGGGTTACGACTTCCTTCTCCTCCCCTTTACTGCCACGATTGTTACTGGAAAAGTTGAGTGCTGGTTGGCAGCTGGTAGGCTAAGCTTGGGGGTAGAAAGTGACATATTGCTG